ATCGATCACACTCATGTTGGTGTGCAGCATCCCCGCCAGCCCCCTCCAGGACTTGTTATCCTGAACCAAAGCTCTGCACCCCCAAGCACCAATGCCCACTCCTCTCCCCTGCACCTGTGCCCAGCCTTCCACTCTCTGCTCTGTGAGCCTGACCACTCTAGGTGCCTCATATACGTGAGTCACGTGGTACTTGCCCTTTTGTGTCTGGCTTCTTTCATTTATACAATGTTCTTACAGTTCGTTCACGTTATAGCACATGTCAGTGCCCCTCCCCTTTTTATGTCTCAGTACTACTCCATCATGCGGGGCTCTGTGGTGTGTACCCTCTTCCTGGACACAGGTTGCTTCCACTTTGGGTCTTTGCAAAAATGCTCCTGCAAATTGGGGCTGGGGATTTAGCTCAGCGGCACAGCGCCTGTCTGGCAAGCGCAAGGTCGTGAGTTCAATTCCCGGTACCACAAAGAAAAAAAAAAAAAGTAAAGAAAAATGCTCCTGCAGACATTAATGTCCGTTTTTGCACACCATGTTCATAGCAGCATCATTCAAAATTCACACCTATAAAATGAGGACCTGGGGGCTGGGGATTTAGCTCAATGGCACAGCGCTTGCCCGGCAAGTGCAAGATTGTGAGTTCAATCCCTGGTACTGGAAAAAAAAAAAAAATCTGAAATGAGGACCTGCCTGACTAAAACCTCCAAAATCAGGGCTGGGGTGTAGCTCAGCAGGAGAGCACTTGCCTAGTATGCTCAAGGCCCTGGGTTCTAGCCCCAGAACTGCCAAAAAATAAAATTAAAAAGTAAAAAAAAAAGAAAAGACCAAAAGGCCTACTGGAGGCCTGGACCCCACACCTGGTCTGCTCCCGGGCTTAGAACAATTCCTAGACCTAACAAGGAAACAGATGCCTGGAAGCCATGCAACTTGCCCAGAGTTCAAAGCCAGTTCATACCCGGCTTCTGCTTCCTGGCTGCTCTGCCTTCCGCCAGCAGCCTGCTGCAGGCAACCGCTCCTTGAAGAAGACACAGCTGTAACCTCCTGGCCAGTGCAGAATTTCATGAGCATCTAACTGCAGGAGAGAGGGCCAGTTCCACTCTGCCAATTCTCTGCTGGGCTTCTGTGTTCCCATGCGGCCCTCCCGATAGTGCCCCTCTCTGGGAGGATCCAAGCGACTTCCAAGTCCCTTCTACCTCCCACCCCCTGAATCTCCAGCTGTGGGACCGTTGGACCTGAAATGCTCTGCCCTCCTCTCCTGGGTCACCATGCATGAAGAGGAGCCTGTCGGCTGGGGTTTGGGACAGAAGTTCCACCAAAGGTGACCAACTCTCTTGGTTCACCAGAGAATGTCCCCAGTTTAGAACTGAGAGCCCTTGTCCTGAGAAGCCCATCTGTCCTGTAAAAACTGGAACAGTTTGCTCATTGGCACTGTCCAGCCACCTGGATCCATCTCCATGATCCCCGGAAATGCTCACTTCAGGTTCTACCTGGACACAGCCCCGGCCTCCACACCTGTCTCTTTTGTTCCTTTCTGTGTCTCCGATGCAGGTTGGACTCCAGCACTTAGAGCCACTAGCACCTTGCTGCCCCAGGACAGAGGCTCCTTCCTGGGGCCCGGGGGACCTTGCCAGCTGGTGGCTACATCTGAGCATCCTGAGGGCTGGGGATTTAGCTCAGTGGTAGAACATTTGTCAAGCAAGCAGGAGGCCCTGAGGTTCAGTGCTCGGCACCAAAAAATTAAAAAGCAAAAACAAAAACAAAAGCAAAATAAGGCAACTGAGCATCCTGGCCCTGTGCCTCAACTCTGAGCCTTGTGATCAGGTCCTTCAGGGGCTTCCTCCTGGGCTGGTCAGTCCTTTGTTCTGGAATGTTCTCTCCAGGCAGATCTCCAGGCTGCCTGCACACCTTCTTTGTCCAGGTACTCATCCCGTTCTTTGAGGCTGGACCTATAAGTGAGGAGTGTGGTTGTCTGCAGAGGTCACTGCCCATGTGGCCTCCAACCACAGGGCATCCCCTTGTGGGCACCTCAGAAGCCCAAGGCAGTAGCCCCACGCTCACTCTGGACTCTAGTTCTCTTTAAGCAGGACCTCTCCCAGGTCTCCCCTTAGAAAAAGATCTAGAATGGGCCCCTCTCCCCATCCACTGCTTCTCCTTGGCCTGTCTCTCCTCCTGTTTCATCCTCGGCCTCTGCAGTGAGCTCTTTGCTTTTGTTTTTTAGTGGTACTGGGGATTGAAAGCCTTTACATTGAGCTACATTCCCAGGCCTTTTTTGGTTTTTATTTTGAGACAGGATCTCACTAAATCACGACTTGTTTGGCCTCGGCTCAATTTTATGATCCTCCTGTCTCAGCCTCCCAGAGTGCTGGGATTACAGATGTGCAATACTCCACCTGGATGATCCTGCTACCCAAGTGGATCTCCCTGTCCTCTGTTGAGGCTGGTGGGCCTAGGTCTCCTGGAAACCACAGCCGGCCCAACCGTTAGCCATCTTGCCTCTTTTGGCCCCATCTGTCTCTCTCTTCCTGTTCCCCTGGAGCCTCCCCTCCCCCATCTCATCCCTCTTGGTCCCATGGATTTCATGGTCTATTAGATCCATTGGTGTACTTGTTTTTAAAATTCTCATCCAATATCCTTGATTTGTTCATCACCGTGTCTCTTCAACTCAGGACAGTGTCCAGCACGTAGTAGGTGCTCAGTAATGCTTCTTGATTGGTTTAATGAGGGCAAGAAGTCCCCTCATTTTCTTAGAGTACTCCAGGGCTAAGCACAATCTCCTGCAGGAGTAGGTGGTGCCCAGTGGCTTTTGGCTGGATAATGAATGGATGCCTCTGTTCACATATATCCATTGACTCCTGGGCCCACATTTGAGCCACCACTGTGGTGAGTCACCTCTCTGGCTTAGGTAGTGCCAGCTCTGGCTGCTGTCAGCCTGCAAATGTCCCTGCGGCCCTATCAGTCATCAGCACCTCAGTGTGAATTGATCAATGGCCCTTGGCCCGGCGGGGGGGGGGGCATGGTGTGGGTGGCAGGGGTAGGCAGCTCATCCACCTCGTGCACAGTGAATCGATGCCTAGCCAGGGTACTGGTGTGAGCTGGCCACGTGGTAGGTGCTCGGTAAACATCTCACTGAATGAATGTTGAGTCACGCCAGGGTCTCCACCCCCAGCCTTCGGGGCCTGTGCCTTCCACGCCCTGGGAATTGAGGAACCAGTCTCTGGGGCTCTTCTCTAGGACCTGCGCCAGGAAGTCTCCACGAGCTTCTCAGGACTTCCTCCAGCTGCTCCAGGATCCCTCTCCTTGGTTTTTTTCCTAGCCACCCCATCTCAAGGATCGCCACATCTGGGGGTCACCTGCCTGCCCCTAGGTCCCAGGGGATGGGCCAAGTTTTAGGAATGAGAAGGAGCTGGGGAGGGCAGAGAGAAGAGGACATCCCCGCATTCGTGTCTTCCGCACTTATTTATTCACTTAAGAAGCCTTGCTTGAGACCCAGTGTGCAGCAGGGACCAGGCTCAGCCCGAGGACCCGCGGAGATGCTCCTCTTCACACCGCCTGTGGCTCGAAGGTCACACAGCTCACAGCACGGGACACAGAGTGGCCCTCCCGCATCGGGGCCACTCCCCCATCCTGTTGCTGTGCCACTTGCAGGACATTTCACTATCACGGGTCACCTGTCTTTCTCCTGGGAAAGGTGACCACCTTCTTCCTCAGCGCAGGGCCTGTGTTCTTTTCATCACAGTGTGCCCTGGTGGCCAGCACAGGGCCTGAGTACAGCAGGTGCCCAGCAAGTGTTTGTGGAGGGAGCTAGGGAGCCAATCACCTTCATTTTGAAGGGCTGGAAGGGCACGGGGCATGGCCAGCGTAGGTGCAGAGGTAGCCCCGGCAGGGAGCAAGTGGCATTTCTGCTCCAGTGCCGTGGGGCCTCACCTTGGCCGCTCAGCATGGTGCTTTCCTGCAGTGACATCCAGGATCCTGGAGAGAGGATAAGGCACCATCTCCTGGGACAGAGAGAGTGTCGCTGGGTGGTGGGGCCGTCAGCCTGCCGTGTGAACTGGAGCAGAAAGCACCGAGCCTTCACTTCCCCACAGTACGGGGAGGGCTGCTGCTTCGGATTCTTACCCTGCCCGACCCCTTGGGACAGAGAGGTGCCCTGGCCTTGCAGGATGTCGGGCTGGGCTTAGCAGTCCCTTCTCTCTCCTGGCCTCTGCCCCCACCTCCCCTTCACCCAGGTGATGTTCCCATACCTTCTGGCTTGTTCTCAGGCTGGGTGTCCACGGCCTCTTCTTCCCGGCAGCTTTCCTGGTGCCTCCTCTCCTTTCTTCTCCAGCCCCCGTGACCACGCGCAACAATAACAAAGACGTGCTTGTGGGGCTGAAGTCCCCTGAGTCGAGGCCCAACAGCAGGACTCCAAGATCAGGGTCAAACCCAGCCTCCACCTCTCACCTCAACCTCCCCAAGCTGCCTCAGTTTCCTGTTTGCACTGTGGCGATGCTTAGGGCACCTGCAGGGTGCACCACTCCCCTTGGTGCCAGTGTGACATTTCACTTGGCTGGAGTGGATGGAGACTTGTAAGTCTGGGAGGTGGCACTGCTCCTGCTTGGGGTGGGGGTGTCATGAGTGCAGGTGTAAGGCAGAGAGGCTGGTACCTGCCCCTCCTATCCAGCCCTACAGGGCAGCCTGGGCTCCAGTCCTGTGAACTCCGTGGGGTCCTAGGACACAGGGGTCCCAGCCCAGCCCTTCTCAGGTAGTGCTGAGTGCTGCAGGCTGTGGGCACAGGGGTTAGCCCTGCCCAGATGGCCCCTGGCTCCTCCCCTTCCCGGGAGTCCAGGTGAGGACTCAGGTCCTCTGGGCATCCTGATGCCAACAGGAAGGTGCTCCAGGGATGTCTGGGCCATCAGCCCAGGGGCCACTGTGCTTGGTCACTCAGTCTGAGTCAGAGCCTTCTGGGAAGTAGGTTAACGGGATTCCAGAGGCCCAGGTTGGGCCCAGGCTGTCCCAGCCTGAGTCACAGCAGTGTGGCCCCTGCAGGTGGGAGCCGTTACTGAGATGGTGCCTCCTGCCAGCTCCCAACATCTGGTCCCAAAGCCCAGCCGCTCCAGACGGGCTCCTCCCCACCCTCAGTGTCCTGAGGACTTTTCTCTGCCCCTCACACAGTCAGGGCTGCAGCCCAGACCCCTGGGCTCATCTCCGTGCACCTGCTCTTCCCGCCTCAGAAGCTGCATCTGGACAGAGCCCCCAGCTCCTGTAACGGCTACTTCCTCTCCACGGCCCCACCTCCTCTGTGACCCACAGCCTGGGTGGCCCAGACTGAGCCACCTGGGGGACCGGTCCAACAGCATTCCGCCTCCCAGGATAAAACCTGGGGTGACCTGCAGGACTCTACGCCCTGCAGCCTCCCCACCTCTTCTCCTGCCGGTCCCCAAAAGCACAGCCTCTGTTCCCTCCAGATCGTTGTCTGGCTGGGCGTCCACCCCCACCAGCATGGTGGTTTCCAGGCCGCTCAGAGCCCTGGGTGGGGGCTGTGTCAGGAGCCTCATCCCGCTGCTGCTTCTGGTTTCCACAGGTGAGTCTGGGGCCCCACCGCTCCTCCCTCCCGTCCTCTGCCCCCTTCTTCCATCCAAGGTCACCTCTTCTCTCCCTGCGGCTCTGCACCTTGTCTCTGGGCCCTGCCTGGAGACAGTGTCCCTCCCTGTCCATTGTGGTTGCCTTTTCTTTTGGCTGTCTCTCTCCCTGGCATGTTATTCAGCAGTACCTCAGTTTCCCCCACAACCGCGAGGACTAGTGACACACACAGGCAAGTGCTCAGTGCGCTCCTTTTGCAGTTATTGTTACCAGCTTTAGTCCGCCCTCGCTTCTCCCCCATCTGCCCTCGCTCCTCTGGGTGGCATCTTGGGTCGGGTGGCCGTGCTCTGGGGCAGCCCTGTCCGTGTCATGTAGCTGGGAGAGGAAGCTGAGACCCGAGTCTGTGGGTCCTGCGCCCCTTTCTCGCCACTCTCCCTGTCCCTGGGCCCTGGCCTAGTGGAGGGAAGGGGAGGCCACCTCTGCCCAGTGAGGGTGGAGGTTCTGGGGCTCTGGGGCCCAAAGCCAGCTTGAGAAGGGGGCTCCTGCACCACCAGCCTGACCTGCTCCCTCTCTTTCCCGTTTTTCTCAGCCTCCCTCAACGACGCCAAGATCCCTGGTGAGTGGGAGCCTGGTCTGGGGGTTGAGGGTGGGGACCTAAAGGGAGGCAAGGTCTGTGTTGGTGTAAAGACAGGCTTGGAGGGCGGGGACAGAGCAGGGGAGGAAGACAGGCAGGAGAGGAGCCAGAGGGCAGAACAGACAGCGGGCAGACAGGGCCAGAGGGGACAGGGCTGAGGACGGGCTGCGTGAGGCCACCCGAGGACCAGCAGTGGAAAGGGCTGTAGGCGGCAAGGGGAGCTCCAGGGGCACAACAGGCTGAGGAGGCAGCAGAGCAGGCACCGGTCTGCGGGTCTGGGGAGAGCTGTATGCAGGTGGGAGACACCCATGCCTGCCAGTGACAGAAAACCCGACCCCCTCCTCCAGCGGCCCCCGACTGTGGGAAGCCCCAGCAGCTGAACCGGATCGTGGGCGGGGAGGACAGCATGGATGCCGAGTGGCCTTGGGTTGTGAGCATCCGGAAAAATGGCACCCACCACTGCGCTGGTTCCCTGCTCACCAACCGCTGGGTGGTCACCGCTGCCCACTGCTTCAAGGGGTACGTGTGACTGGGCTGTCCTGGATCCCCGGGACCCAGGTCTCCGGCCCCACACCCCCACAGAGCCCCCAACCCAGGTCTCTGTCTCAGCATGGTGCCCTGTGTAGAGACACCTCCTCCCCACCCTTCTGCACTGCCCAGAAGCCTGTCCTGCTGCCCAGGATCTCACATCCTTGCTGGTGTCCAGTGACTTTTTCCAGACTCAAGCTGCCTGACCCCTTTCCCTTCCTTTCAGTGACCTAGACCAGCTGGATCTGTTCTCTGTGTTGCTGGGGGCCTGGCAACTGGAGACCCCTGGTCCCCGGTCCCAGCAGGTGGGCATTGCCTGGGTGCTGCCCCACCCCCTGTACTCCTGGAAGGAAGCAGCCCGTGCTGACATCGCACTGGTGCGCCTTGAACACCCCATTCAGTTCTCTGAGCGAGTCCTGCCTATCTGCCTGCCTGATTCCTCTGTCCAGCTCCCTCCCAATACCAGCTGCTGGATTGCAGGCTGGGGGACCATCAGTGATGGAGGTGAGCTCCCCCCACTTCAGGGTGGGGGTCGGGATTGTTAGAGACAAAGTGTGGAAGACATCAGAGACACAGATACCAATGGCAGTAGCAGATAGCTGCCAGAGGCCCAGCATGGCAGAGACAAGCAAGGATGGCAGTGATCCCGAGATGTGAAGCCACAGAAACCCAGGGGGCCATTTTTAGGTTATTTCTAGTTTAAAAATATCTTCAGCTGTGTTTGAGTCAGCCAGATAGACAAAGCTAATCACTGCCCCAGGAATGGCTGGAAGGAGGCCAACGCAGGGCCAATCTGAGGACCTGGAGAAGTGAAATCAGCCTTAAGCTTGCACAGTGGGAGCAAGCGCCTCCCTGTGGCAGCATGCCACATTTGCAGGCAGAGTTCCCAGGAAGAAACAAGTTTCCTGAATTGTCAAGTATAATTTTCAAACAAAGTCTGGTGGTTTGGAGATCATCATCTAGGAACACAAAACAGGTGAAGTAAAGTAAGAGGCAGAGGAAGAGCAAGAAAAAGATAGATGATGGGTAGACCAAGTCTGGGCCAAGAAAAAGACACAGAAAGGAATGATAAAAAAGGGGCTCAGTAAAGACCTGGGGACAGTTTGAGGGAGATAGAAACTCAGTGAGGGCAAAGAAGGAGGAAAGTGGAACCTTGCAAGGGTCCAGAAGCAATAGCAGAAATGATGCAAGGTCAGGTATGAGGGGATGCAGGGATCTGAGGTTGTAGCCTCCCCATGGGAGCTGTCGACTGATCCTAGGTGTGTGTGTGTGTGTGTGTGTGTGTGTGTGTGTGTGTGTGTGTGTGTTTCTGTGTGTCCTGAAGGTATTCAGCACCAAGGGGGACATTTACCAAGCACTCTATAGTCCTCGTGCTGGACAAAGTGTCTTCAAGGCAGGACACACAGGCTGTTTGGCCATCTGTAGGCATCAGCTTAATAAAGATGCAGAATCTGAGCCAGGAGTGGCACACACCTATAATTCCAGAACTCTGGGAAGTTAAGCCAGGAAGATAATCAGCTTGAGGCCAGTCTGAGCAATTTAGCAAGACCCTGCCTCAAAATATAAAAGGGCTGGGGACATAGCTCAGTATGAAGGCTCTAGGTTCAATCCCTAGTAAAAGAAAAAAACAAAACATGGGGCTGGGGTGATAGCTCAGTGGTACAGCAACTGCCTTGCAAGCACAAGGTCCTGAGTTCAATTCCCAGTACCAAAAAACAAAAACAAAATAAACAAACAACAACCCCCCAAAGAAACAGAATCTGGGCTGCACATTCATGTGGGAAACAATAGGTCCAGATGAAGAAACCTGGAACTTGGACTCTCTGAAAGCATCTTGGGAGAGCTGAGCCACTGACCTTTGAGAAATATTGCAGAAGGGTATGGAGAGCATTGCGCCTTTGAGGGCGTGCTAGAAGGGCCCAGCCTGACCTTCTCCTCCTGTTCCCAGTGCCCCTGCCCTACCCACAGACTCTGCAGAAGCTGAAGGTGCCCATCATTGACTCAGAAGTCTGCAGCCACCTGTACTGGCGTGGAGCAGGGCAGGAAGCCATCACAGAAGACATGCTGTGTGCTGGCTACCTGGAGGGGCAGCGGGATGCCTGTGTGGTGAGCATCCAGCCCTTCCGCCCTGCCAAAGGCACAGCCTGCCTCAGCCTGGCTCCCCACACATGTACTTGAATCCACAGCCATGCCACTCACGTGGAGAGCTGGCATTCTGAGGGGGTCCCCAGAGCCAGCTGCAGCTGGGCATGGCATGATGGGGTAGTGGTCAGCCCCCGTGGCCAGGGCGAGGCCCATGCTGCTGGCTGGTGCAAGTTGTTTCTTTCCTGTGAGCCTCAATTTTCTCCCCAGTGAAACAGAAATAAGGACACTCAGCTCCACAGACCAGTGGGGGAGGGCTGCTCAGAGTGCTTCTCCCCCTCGGGGGAGGGAACCTCTGCCCACTGCCTGCCCCATCCAGGTCTCTAACCTTCCCTTCCCTCTGCAGGGCGACTCTGGCGGTCCCTTGATGTGCCAGGTCAATGGTGCCTGGCTGCTGGGAGGCATCATCAGCTGGGGCGAGGGCTGTGCAGAGCCTGACCGGCCAGGCGTCTACACCAGCCTCCTGGTCCACCGCTCCTGGGTACAGAGGGTCGTGCGAGGGGTGCAGCTCCGCGGGCACAGGACGCCCAACCCAGGCTCCCAGGTGGCCAGGCGCTCCTAGAGCCTCGAATTCCCAGTCCACCTGCAGCTGCCTCTGTTGTAAATACGATGTTTACCTCTTGGGGGCGCCCGAGGTCCCCGCGGAATCTGGGAAGGCCACGCCCACACCATGTTCCGCTCCCGGCCCCGGGCGCCTGCTGTATATACAGGATATGTTCATGATTTTTACAGTTATTTTTTAACCTTACCTATATATTTATTCCTTCACTTTCAATAAATTATTTATTCTCCAGTTTGCTTTTTCCCCATATATGGTGACACTGAAAAGCAAGGGTGCAGTTTGGGCTAAAATCAAGGGAGGCAGCTGTGAGGTGAGGTTGTGCCTTGCCTGGCTGCGGAGGCTCAGCTGACCCCTGGTTTCCACCTAGGGCTCAACATCCTGAGCTCTGACCTCAGAGCCTGGGCTCACCTTCTCTCCCCAAACGCCCTCCTGCTGGGGCAGCCCGCGGAGATTAGGCAGACTGAGACTGGAGGGCGAGGCCCATCCCTCCGTAGAAGTAGGCTCTCCTTCCTGGCCTCTGCCGGGACCCAGGCAGCCTCCGGCTGCAGGGACTGGACTGGGCCCGCTTCTACCTGCCAAGGAGCTGATTCAAGCGGTGACTCCCCGCTAATTCTATGAATTGCCCCTTGCCAAGGAAGCAGCAAAACAGGAAGAGAGCAGACCCTGTGGGCCCACAGCAGAGCCCCCTCCCTGTCCCCACACAGTGGTTAGGTGAGAGTGGTCCAGGCTGAGAGCTCTGCATGGCTTCCTGCCTGCTCAGGACACAGGCTCACTCCCCCTTCCCCTCAGCAAGCCTCTTGCCTCTTGGATCTGGTCCCGTCCCTTAGCCACGGGAACCCTTGCCTGGCGGCCCGGGCATTGGAGGGTTGACAGCTGCTGCATGTTGGCTGGGGTGGTATGTGAATGGGAGGAGCCGACAGAGCCACCCAAACAGAGGCCAGCAGACAGCAGGAGAAAGGAGGTGGCCTTACCCGGCTATAAAATGTGTCCCACTAGCATGGGGGAGGACTGGGTGCCTGCTCAGCTCTGCCTGTCAGCATGTTCATCATTCAGGGAATGTCTCTCTAAAAACTGACCACAAAAGGCTGATTAGCCCTAAATTTACATAACATATTCCAACCCTCCACCCCACACCCCACCCCCCGCATGACTGAGATACCAATGTAAGAGATTCACAGGGACATTCAGTTGCCGGAAGTCTCCTGTCACTGTCCTAAACCCATACCCACCTTGGATTCCAGCAGCACCTCAGTAGGCCTGAGACTGCCCCGGGCGGTGACAGGCATCTCATGAGACTGGATAAAGTGACAGGGGTTTCTTCCAGAGCCACCTTTGCAGATTCAAAACTGAGATAATGATTAACCAGACCCTAGCCCTCTCCAACTGCTTAAATGCTGGTCCTGCTCCTTTGTTACAGGGTCAGTATGATCTATCAGAGCTGTGTCGCCTTCAGCTCCTTCAGCCAATTTCTCCCCATTTTCTCTTCTTTCCTACTCTACCGCATAGATCTGCCTGCGTCTCTCATGATGCATCCTGATTTTTTTTCTGTGACAAGATGTAAGACCTGCCTGGGCCACGTTGAGGTCCCTAAATCTTTTTACAGGGACCTCCTCCCGCTGGGGTTGAAACTAAGTTCCTGTGGGTCAGGGGACAGGTTTTTAGATTCCTGTGCTCAAGGAACAAAGAATTGAATGTGGCACAAGTCAGTAAGGAAAAAGCAGCAAAGTTTAATGAAGTTTAATTAGGCGATGGTGTGGCCGGGCCCCTCCCAAAGAAATGTGGTGGGGGCCTTCTCAGAACAAAGGAAGACAACATGGCATAATTAGTTCTTATGGACACACGTGTAGTTCTAGCACGGCTCTACAACAGATTGTACCCAATCAGGCCATCGTTTGTGAGGGTGTAACCATATAAGAGAGACAAAGACACAAAAATTGTATGAAAGGCAAAAGAACTGTCACTGTCCTAAACCCATACCCACCTTGGATTCCACAGCACCTCAGTAAGCCTGAGACTGCCATGCTCAGGGCTCAGCCTCTAGATGTGAATCTGCGGAGTCAGCGCCAGCAGGAATAAACGCTACTTCCTAGAAAGAGCCTTGGTGTCTTGTCTTTCTATGTGAGAATTCCGCTACATTTTTCTTGGGGGCCCATCCAGGACGTGGCAGCTGTATCGCCTGGTGGGGGTGAATTTTGGGGCACCAGGAGAGGCGACCTCACCTGGCATTAGTGGATCACTTGATCCATAGGCGACTAGCCCCTGCTGGCATGCTGGGGTCAAGGCCCCCTGATGCACCAAGGAACCCATTGTGGCCCAGAAACTAGCCTAGGGAGCACTGCCCATCAGATTGGTAAAAGCCTGGCTTCACTGTGGCACACCTGCCCCTACGAGGCAGAAGGGGAGCCTGGTCACCTCCCAGGGTTGCCTGAGTAAGTTTTGTTGAGACTGAAACTGCAACTCTAAGGCACTAAGGTGTCCGGTTGGAATCGTGGGTTTTTTTTTTTGGTTTTTTGTTTTTTTGCCTTTTTGAGACAGGGTGTCACCACGCAGTTCAGCCTGGTCTTGAACTCACTTTGTAGCCCAGGCTGGCCTCGAACTTGCAAGGATCCTCTTACCTCAGCCTCCTGAGTGCTGGGATTACAGGCGTGCGCCACAACGCCCAGCAGGAGTTGTGTGTTTGTGTGTGAATGAGACTGACAGTGGGAAGGTTCTGACCTGACCAAAAGGGCCCCAGCAAATGTGGGGTCTTGAGCCAAGGTGCTGCAGCAACCTCATATGGCTGATGGTGGCATCAGTCTTCCTCAAGAGCCTGTCCTGGGCCAGATTGCTGAGTCTATTAATGCTGAGGCACCTGAAATATCTCCTCAAGGAGAGTGACAAGAGACAGGCAAAGTGAGTGTGCATCCCTTCCATATCAGCCCTTCCCTTCTCCCTTTTCCTCTCCTGTGTGTGGAAGTTGTCCGCTAGGGGGAGGAGATGAGTGAAAAGCAGAGTAAACCAACTCCCCTAGAGTATGCGTTAAAGAATTTTAAGTCTTTTCTTTTGGTACCAGGAATCGAACTCAGGGCCTCACGCTTGCCAGGCAGGCGCTGTGCCATTGAGCTACATTTCCGGCCCATTAAAGAATTCTTAAAAAAGGATATTCGGGTGACTCTGGTGTTAAGCTAACTCCTGGAAGGCTCTAGACGTCTGTGAAATTGATTGGCCATCATTTGGGGAAGGCTGGCCGCCAAGGGCTCAGTTGCTAAGGAGCTGGTTAGCTGAGTGTTCAGGGTCATTGTGGAGGATCTGGGCCACCCAACCCAATTTCCTTACACTCACTGTTGGCAAGACTTGGTTCTGCCCCAGCCACCTTGGCTGAAAGCCTGCACTGAGAACTGCAGGGTGATGATGGCGAGAGTGCTGGCCACCCCCAAATGTCGGCCAAAGTCAAATAAACCAATTCTGTCTGGCGAGCCAGAAGAAGTCCCACCTCCACATGCCCCACTGTATCCACCGGCGCCACCACCACCTTCTGCCCATGCTGCAGAGGCCCTGCCAGAGCAAGTCAGCCCCCTAGAGGTTACCTCTTCCTCAGTGCCATTTTAGAGCTCCCTGGAGAACTCTCCAATGGTGGCTCCCCTGAGCTGCCTGTTCTGACCCCTCATACACCTGTGGGCGCCCATCCAGAGGACCTCTCTGGCAGCCTGGCTCTCCAGCATTGCTGAAGCACCATGCAGATACCACTTTCAGAGACACGGGAACCCCTTTACTGTAACCACCAGGGGCAGACCTAGGAAGGTGAACCAGTGTTAGTGTTATCAAGATAAAGGTGAAAAAGAAAAAGACAAAGACAGACTTGTTGAGAGCTGCCCTGGGGGAAGATCAGAACATTCCCTTATGGACATATCCAGGGGCGAAGGGTGAAGCTAATGCAGAGGCCAATGAGGAGGCCGGTGGGGAAGCCAATAGAAGGGGCCACCCGGCCTGGGGACGAAGCTAGATCAGGACCAATGTGCCCACCGTCGCAGGTATGGACACTAGAAGAATGAATGCCTCCACTGGCTGGAAAAATCTCCTCCGCTGCCCAAACAAGAAGACAGAGGTCAAATAGTCCAGGGCCTACACCTGTCAGCTCAGAGGCCATGTGGGGTGCCCGAGGATGACTTTGTAAGACTGACCGCTATGGGAAAACATGAGGAAGACGAGGACAGATGAGGCTGTATTTTGATATGGTCTGAATAAGTGTGGGGGGCTGACCTGTTGACTTCGTGGTGGACACTGTGGTGGAACATGCTATGGTGACCCAGCCTATGGGCCTCCGCTCACAGAGACAGGCCACTATCACGGGGGCCGTGGGCAAATGAACACACTGTCCTTTCCTGCTGCCCTGAAGATGCATTTTAGGCAGCCATGAAATCATTCATGAATTCCTGTACCTCCCTGAATGTGCTGTGGCTGTAATGGGTTGAGACGTATTAGGAAAGCTGCAGGCTCCAATAACTGAACTCCCACAGACAGGCTGCCCTGACTCTGCACAAGCTGCAAATGAAAGTCATGACTCTTACGATTCTCCAAGGAAAAGAATGGCGCCTCTACAGTCTCCTACAGAGGCCACAAGAGGGACCTGAGCTTCCCTTCAGAGTTCTGGGGTATGGGCTAGAGACAATCCACGCAGATTAACCTGAAACATACCTCCAGTCATTGTAGAAATAAAGCCAGGAGCAGAGCAAATTCACCAAAAATGATATTTCACCCCTTGCAAGGCACAGACTGGGATCCAGAAACACTTGGAGAGGCTTATAAATTATGGGATCCTTTGACCTTGCCGGTCACCTTGGAACACGCCTCGCCTGCCAGTCCAGAAACTGGGCACAGACGATTATCAGCCAGTTCAGGATTTGTGAGTGGTAAACCAGGCCACCATCACCCTACCCTGGTTGTCCCAAACCCTATACCCTCTTGGGTCTCATTCCCACTGAAGCTGCCTTCTTTACATGTCTAGACCTCAAGGACGCCTTCTTCTCCATCCAGCTGGCCCCACAGAGCCAGTCAAATTTTGCTTTCCAGTGGGAAAATCCAGAAAATGGTGACAGAGGCCAGTTGACTGGGACAAGGCTACCCTAAGGGTCCAAAGATTCCCTGACCATTTGCAGCACGGCACTGGCTACTGTGAAAGCCTCCCCAGCAGACAGACGCGGCTGTGTCCCACTTCCATGTGTAATTGACTTGCTGCTGGCCAGAAGGCCTGAGGA